TCATATATAATATACATAATATCATACATATCATATATATCATACATAATATCATACATAATATACATATCATATATAATATACATAATATCATATATAATATCATATATATCATACATATCATACATAATATACATATCATATATAATATACATAATATCATACATAATATCATACATATATATAATATCATACATAATATCATATATATCATACATAATATATATATCATACATAATATCATATATAATATCATACATAACAAGGGTATAAGTATTATTTCATGGAAATTATGTCTTGACCAATATGGTGAAACCCCGCCTCTACTAAAAATACAAAACTTAGCCGTAGTGGTGAGTGCTGTAGTCCCAGCTACTCGGGAGGCTGAGACAGAAGAATTGCTAGAACCTGGGAGGCTAAGATTGCAGTGAGCCAAGATCATACCACTGCCACTGCACTCCAGCCTGGGAGACAGAGCAAGACTCTGTCTCAAAAAAAAAAAAGCATATGGATGAAATGAGACCATGAGTGAAATATTCCCAGAACACATTCCACATGTAACATTCTACACATGGAAGTTCCCATCCCTCCAACCCAGGATGGCAGACATCTTCATTTTTAATTCAGGGTAGAAAGAAAGGACATCCCCTCAAGAGTCTCTCAAATCTCCCATGAAAGATGAGTCCTGTGTATATAAAAATGGTAGTGATGGCCAGAGTACCTGGAACGTTCATCAACCTTTCCCATTGCCAAGATAACTCATTCCATTGGGCACGGTGGCTCACGCCCGTAATCACAGCACTTTGGGAGGCTAAGGTGGGTGGATCACCTGAGGTCAAGAGTTCAAGACCAGCCTGGCCAACATGGCAAAACCTCATCTCTACTAAAAATACAAAAATTAGCTGGGTGTGTTGGTACATGCCTATAATCTCAGCTACTTGGGAGACTGAGGCAGGAGAATCACTTGAACCCAGGAGGAGGAGGTTGCAGTGAGCCAAGATGGCACCACTGCACTCCAGCCTGGGCGACACGGTGAGACTGTCTCAAAAAAAGAAAAAGAAAAACAAAAGAAAACTTCCTCATAAGAACCCCACCCGGGAAGGAGATGGAATGGAAGTGGGTGAGGTTAGGAGTTGCTGTGGGCCAAGCACAAGAGTGTGGCCATGCCAGGCCTGGCCCTTGGTGGTCCTGGGGTCAAGTTCAGTGCTTTGCTCTCCCCTTGCAAGGGCTGCTTCCCTGCTCCACTCTGGCCTGGGCTCCCAGGTTTCTGAAACTGCTTCCAGGCAAAGCAACGAAGCCCACGACGGAAGCTTTGCTACATTTGGCAAATTGCACTCCCAGGACAGCACTTGCTCACTCTCCCTAAATGCTGTAGCCGGAGAGAAGAGAAAAATATCTGGAATCCAAGAATCTCAGGGTCAAAGCGTGCTTCAAGGCCTTTCCCCGTCTCCCAGGACAGATGGTCCCTGCCTGTGCCAGGGGCCACTGGGCTGAGGCCTAGTGAGCTTTCTGGGAGGTGGACACCCTGAGCCCAGGGTGGGTCAGTTGTGACTGCAGCACAGGAAACCTGCATCTCCTCGATAGAGGCGCCAAGGCAAACCAGAACCCGGCGTCTAGGAGCCAGCCATGCCTGCTGGGAGGGCCACAAAGGACCCTTTGGGTGGGTCCGCGGAACTCCAGAGGGCCAGCACAAGCCCCCAGCCCCAGATGCCATCTAGAAGGCAAGCAATTTTTTTTTCTTTTTGAGACAGGGTCTTGCTCTGTCACCCAGGCTGGAGTGCAGTGGTGTGATCTTGCCTCATCTCAGCATCAACAGGTGGCGACTTTTAAGAAAACATAAAAAGCCCTGATAGAAAATTCAAACTTGAATTTCCTGAACATTCACCCCAAATGACAGACTTTACCCAAGAGTGTGTTTTTTTGTTTTGTTTCTGTTTTTGTTTTGAGATGGGGTCTCCCTCTGCCACACAGGCTGGAGTGCTGTGGCACAATCTCGGCTCACTGCAACCTCTGCCTCCCAGGTTCAAATGATTCTCCTGCCTCAGCCTCCTGAGCAGCTAGGGCTAGAGATGCCCACCACTACACCCAGCTAATTTTTGTAATTTTAGAAGAGACGGGGTTTCCCTATGTTGGTCAGGCTGGTCTCGAACTCCTGATCTCGGCCTCCCAAAGTGCTGGGATTACAGGCATGAGCCACCGTGCCCAGCCCAAGCGTGTGTGTTAAATCTCAAGAGACTGAGGGACCTGCAGGCAAGTTTGTTTCTTTCCAGCAGGTCTTGGGTCCCTTGAGGGAAGAGAAGTGGGCTCTAGGAAGTGCAGCGACTCCCCACTTTTGTTCCTCTGAGCTATAGGGTGGGTGTTTTCTGCCCCTCTAGATAAGCAGTACTTCCTGCATCTGGCTACAGAACATTTTTCTCACACAGCATCCCCTGGGGCGAATGTTTCACAAGAACCCTGGTGATAAACACTCTCTCTCATCCAATGGCTGGGCTGGTCCCTGAGACTCCCAGGACGGAGCTGTGACCACAACAACTGGGTCCGTTGCCAGGGAAAACAGCAGGCAGGCCTGGCATGGTTCAGCGGCCCCAGCCAGGCGGCCAAGTCCTCCTCAAGGTCAGAGTCTGTTTAGAGAGTTCCCCAAGTGTGGGAGGCCAGGAGCAGGGGTGGCTGGTGGTGTCTGGGATACCAGGGTTGGAAAGGCCTCTACAAGCCCCAACTCAGCAGCCCTTAGCCCCTCATTCTTGCTCGTGGGGTCCAGTGACAGGAGGTGGCCTCTGTCGCCACAAAGCCAGGGCTAGCTAGATGAGCCATACTTCTGCAAAGCAACAGCTCCCTGTGTGGCCTCAGGTAGGGGTGGTGACTCGGGACTTCCGGGAATATCAATATAAGAAAACCACGTGACTTCTGATCACAGTTTGACACAAATGCTAGAAGACACACAGATCTCAGCCTGTAACCACACTGTGGGCTCATTCTTACAAACACAGAACCCAGGACTGGTTCTTAGCTGTGTAATCACAAACAACCCACAACTTCTAGAAGCCTTGGCTTCCTCTTCATTAGAATGGAAGACGGAATAGCACAATCCTGTATCTCTGATCCTTGGGGCCAGGTGCATGTTGGAGTTCCTGATTTGGGGGAGTTTTAGAAAGGTAATGGGTAATGATGGGTAAATTAAGCAGGAGACATAAAAACCATATGTGAATTCATGCCAGATCAGGTCAGGTTTTGCCACTAAGTGAATGAATGAGTTTTTTTAAAGTTTCCGTTTTCAGGCCTGGTGCAGTGGCTCACGTCTGTAATCCCAGCACTTTGGAAGGCCAAGGCGTGTGGATCACTTGAGGTCAGAAGTTCGAGGTCAGTCTGGCCAACATGGTAAAACCCCGTCTCTACTAAAAACACAAAAATCAGCTGGGAATCGTGGTGGGCACCTGTAATCTCAGCTACTAGGGAGGCTGAGACAGGGGAATAGCTTGGACCCAGGAAGTAGAGGTTGCAGGGAGCTGAGATCGTGCCATGGGCAGCAGAGCAAGACTTCACTTTGAAAAAATAAATACATAAAGAAACTAGCTCTTTCCGCCATCTTCCGTGCCGCCACAATGGTGCGCATGAATGTCCTGGCTGATGCTCTCAAGAGCATCAACAATGCCGAAAAGAGAGGCACACGCCAGGTGCTTATTAGGCCGTGCTCCAATGTCATCGTCCGGTTTCTCACTGTGATGATGAAGCATGGTTACATTGGCGAATTTGAAATCATTGATGATCACAGAGCTGGGAAAATTGTTGTGAACCTCACAGGCAGGCTAAACAAGTGTGGTGTGATCAGCCCCAGATTTGATGTGCAACTCAAAGATCTAGAAAAACGGCAGAACAATCTGCTTCCATCCCACCAGTTTGGTTTCATTGTATTGACAACCTCAGCTGGCGTCATGGACCATGAAGAGGCAAGACAAAAACACACAGGAGGGAAAATCCTGGGATTCTTTTTCTAGGGATGTAATACATATATTTACAAATAAAATGCCTCATGGACAAAAAAAAAAAAAAAAGAAAAACTAAAGTTTCCATTTTCAGAGGATTTTGCATTTCAGAGTTATTAGCCCTTAAATGCCGAGCACCTCATGGGGTTGTTAACTCCATCAGCATCAGGTGAGATGCTATGGAGACAAGTGGTCTCAGAACAATCAGTGAGGACAGCTCCGGCGCCCCATCACCCGCTCACGGGCCCCTCACGGTAGTTCTAAGCCACAGGAGCTGTTTTATACCCCGTACAGGTCCGCCCTATGACACAGCCAGGGCAGAGACGACAGACTCAGGCCTTCGGACTTTGATTCTGCTCTTTCACCTCATTGTGCATCTGATTAGAGAAACACGCAAAAATGAAACCGAAAAGGCCGAGCTGTTTCTCAAAAGCCAGGATTTCCTGGAAGAGCCCCAGAGTTTTGCTTTTTCTTTCCTGCAGCACTTAACCCGAAAGCAGTTTTGCAATCAATTTCTGTTCAAAAGCCACCCGATTCTTCCTCTCTGCCTCTCTGCAGCCCATTTGTTCACAGACCCCTGCCGGACCAGGGGACCTTGGAGAGGCAAGGACAGAGTTTCAGGATCTTCCCCTCCCTCGGGACCCGAGGCCACCAACGAGAGAGCTCCGTGGAGAGAAGGTGAGTTGGCAGGCAGACGTCGGGGGAGGAGGGGGCTGCTGCTGGGGTCCCCGAAGTGCAAAGTCTCCAAGGGGTTGGCTCCAGGCTCAGGAAAAAGAATTGCTGTCAGGGCAGCTGGGGGTTTAAATTCCAGCCAGAACTTGGGAAGGGTCTGAGAGTCAGCTTCTCCTGTGTTAAACCTGGTCAGTTTCTTTCCCTGACAGCCATTTGGGAGTTAAATCAAAACCTGATAAAGCATGTGATGTGCCTAATCAAGCTGCATTTGCCCTTCCACTGCCGGGGATCGGAGGGCTCAGGCAGAGGTCGCCTGGCCCTTAGATAGCGGGTGACTACATCAGCCACAGGGGTTTCCCTAGAAATTCAGCATCAGAGTGGCTTAGGGGTGTCATCTCACAAGAAAAAAGGTGCTGTGTGAGTTGTCTAGAAACCGCAAAGCCAACCTACAATGTTTTCTAGATTGTAGGTTTATGGGAAGTCGTTTAGGGAAGAGAGTGAGGGAGTTTGTGATACATATTAGGGAGACGAAGCCAGGCACAGTGGCTCACGCCTGTAATCCCAGCACTTTGGGAGGCCAAGGCAAGTGGATGGCTTGAGCCCAAGAGTTTGAGACCAGCCTGGGCAACACAGTGAGACTCTGTCTCTATAAAAAATAAAATATTGCCGGGCGCGGTGGCTCAAGCCTGTAATTCCAGCACTTTGGGAGGCCGAGGCGGGTGGATCACGAGGTCAAGAGATCGAGACCATCCCGGTCAACATGGTGAAACCCCGTCTCTACTAAAAATACAAAAAATCAGCTGGGCATGGTGGCGTGTGCCTGTAATCCCAGCTACTGAGGAGGCTGAGGCAGGAGAATTGC